AGCTTGTGTTTGCAGTTCGAGCATGATCACGACCAATTTCAGTTCAACGGAGCAGGACTTGCTGGACCTTCGCAATGGCAGAAGTGTTCATGCATATATGCGAAAATAAATGGCGTTATAGCAATGGGAGCAGGGCCTCATGCTCGCCCCTAGTCAGCTGTTGACGCTGGGAAGGGGCTTCGGGATAATACTGTATATCTATGGCAAAACACCAAAAGTGGGACGGGTTCAGCGTTTCGACCAGCTGTTTGTCGGCCTCTTTTCGTCATTTGATAGACCAGGCTCATCAGCAATGAAAATTGAAGATGCTTTGGCTATGTGAGCTGTGTCGGTATTGGTGCCTGTGCTTACCTTACGGAGGTCCCCTTCTATTTGTATGGAGCACCACGTGCAATATCTGTTCCGAGCGTGAATTTGCCATCGCCCATATACAGTCCGTTTTCCTTAGTTTGGACACCGGAGCTGCTATGAATGTCCATCTTGTTGCCTTCAGACCAGGCCCAAGGGTAAGCATGGTTGATCAAGACTCGTGTGATGGCTGCTGGGCGGCTGTTCAGGTGACGTATTGGAGGGGAGGCTGTGTGCAGCGGGCAGCGGGCAGCGGACTTGTCTCCAGTGACTAGTGGGCGGTTGTGCTTTGCGTATTGCCTTCTCGCCCAGTTCTACCAAAAGACAACCCCCCATTCGAGGCTCAGCCTCCGTTGAACGACTCGCTCAATTAACTCACCAGATATCCTCTTACTGCCTCGTTATCCATTCTCCCTGGTCTGAGCATGTCCGCATCCTCGCAAAACGTCCAAAATGTTGCGGAGCAAGCCATCCTCGTCAATGCAAAAGACGTACGATGAGGCCTATCTCCAATGTTCTACCGCCGTGTTTTTCGAAGGCCAGGTAATGAACACGCTATTCCCGACTTCTCGATCTTGTGCTAACTCGGTGGCCGTCTGCAGGGCAACGAGGCCGAGGCTCTTCGGTCATGGAAGGCAGCGCTCGATCAAATTAATCATTACAAGGCCTACAAACTCTCGTCTAGTTACTCCCCTCGGTCAGAAACCGAGCGGGCCCTGTATGACTCCCTGAGGGAATTGGAGATACAATGCAAAGATCGAGTCGATCTCCTCGAGACTTTGAAGAGAAGCCGGGAAGAGTTGGGAATAGACCAGCGCAAGGAAGAAAAACTAGAACAAAAGAATGGGGGTGGAACCGGCAACAGCAATGGAAATGCGAGCGGTAGTGGCAGCAGTGGCAGGAAGCGTCTTGGGAAGAATAGAAGGAACCCATCGATAACGACGACCCCTTCTGAACAGCCTGGCTCGTGGCTTGGAGGAGAAACGATACCACCCATGCAAATGTCTGAACTTCCCAATGCCACCCCTGCATTGCCTCCACGACCGCCACTGGGTGTCACCAGGAGCAGCGAGGCCGTGGCAATTGACAACACCTCTCCGATATCACGAACTCGGTCGTCACCTTTAGGTGCTCCTCCCACCTTACCTATCCCGATCACGAAAGCCTCTAGAAGTCCCAGTCCCGATCACGGCAGAAAAACGATGCGGACAACATTACGCCCGGAGAGGAGGGGGTTCATGAAGTATCGGTCAGCTTCAAACCGTGACAGAAGGGCCGATACTATGAAAGCGGCTGGTCTGGCATGGGAGTCTCAACCACGGAAGAACTCTCACCCCACCCATAGGCCAGATTCAGACCCCACGATCGAAGCCAGATTGAGCGCTACAGCTGCAAGACGGAGCATCGACCAAGATACGACGGCCAGATACGAGGAGCACCGGAAGTCAAATGCATCGTCTCTCTTGAGTGTTCCTGACTACCAACAGCAACATGCCACGCGTGACATTCCGAATTCTTCCTCCGCACCACCACGCCCGCCATCATCATCAATGAACAAATCTATGGAAAGTCTGAAATTAAACCCTGACTCAGCACCCAGCCTCATTGACCTTGACTCGGAACTGGAGAAGCTGCCGCCTCCTGTACCGCAGCATTCACCACCCACAGGCCAGCCAGTCGGCAAACCACGAGCCAGATCTCCGATTCATTTGCCGAAAGCTCCAGATATTACCTATCGAAAAGAATACCCTGTACGGACACATAACGTCCCCCAACCACTGGCGAGGAACATACTAGAGAGAGCTTACCCAAAAGTTGGATCTGGTGGTGCTGCGTCAGGTATAACTCGAAAACCTGTCGGCGCGGCGGATACGGCCCTCGAAACAAGAGGACGCTCCCCTCAAAAGCGGGATATGCATTCTGATAGTGAAGACGAAACCCCTAAACGAAATCTTGACAGGCCGAGGCGGGGCGGTGGAACCAGGACAGCGAGCGCCAACACAATCACTCCGCCCTCCACGGATGGTGAGTCGTTGGAAGAAGATGGCTTGTCCGCGGAGGAGAAGAGGCTGGGGAATATTCTTAAAAATCTACCAAAGGGAGTGGATGAAAATGCCGCCAAACAAATCCTCAATGAAATTGTCGTCAAAGGGGATGAAGTTCACTGGGAGGACGTTGCCGGTCTTTCTGCTGCCAAAAAGGCGTTAAAGGAGGCAGTGGTATACCCTTTTCTCAGACCAGATCTTTTCATGGGGTTGCGAGAACCTGCTCGAGGGATGCTCCTTTTTGGACCACCTGGGACGGGCAAGACCATGCTTGCAAGGGCTGTCGCCACTGAAAGCAAGAGTACCTTTTTTGCCATCAGTGCTAGCAGTCTGACGAGCAAATGGCATGGCGAGTCCGAGAAGCTCGTCCGAGCCTTGTTCGCGTTGGCGAAAGCTCTGGCGCCGAGTATCATCTTCGTCGATGAGATCGATTCCCTTTTGAGCGCCCGAAGTGGGTCAAGCGAGCACGAGGCGTCGAGACGGAGCAAGACAGAGTTTCTCATCCAGTGGTCTGACCTGCAAAGAGCAGCAGCTGGCAAGGATACGACCGTGGGGGATGCTAGCCGAGTATTGGTGCTCGCTGCCACCAATTGTCCGTGGGACATTGATGATGCGGCAAGGCGTAGATTTGTCAGGAGACAGTACATCCCTTTGCCAGAGGCAGAAACCAGAGAGACACAGATTCGGACGTTGCTGGGTCATCAGAAACATGATCTAAGCCCAGAGGACATTGCTCGCTTGGTAGAGTTGACGGAGGGTGAGTTCTTCGGATGCTCCTCGCCCCGGTCTTGTTTCACCATGCTCACTACTTGAAAATAGGATACTCGGGATCTGACATTACAGCGCTTGCAAAAGACGCGGCCATGGGCCCTCTAAGACATCTCGGCGAGGCTCTGCTGTACACTCCTAAAGAGCAGATTCGACCGATTCAGATGATGGATTTCGAAGCCAGTCTGGATAGCATTCGACCAAGCGTGAGTAAGAAGGGGTTAGAAGAGTTTGAGAAATGGGCGAGAGACTATGGTGAGAGAGGTGGTTGATTGTGGGAGAAATTACTTTCCGGGGATTGTATGCGGACATGATTTGGTATAGCCAGAAGGTTTGTGAAAAGTCTCAGGGCACGAAGACAACAAGGGTGGGCTCCAATGCGATCCGGATTGACGATTTGATGATACCGTATAGATCAAGCGCATCAAGGTGTTTAATTGATATCTCTCGATTGGGGGGGACAAGGCTGACGCGGCTGACGAGGCTGGATATTGTCGAGGCTAAACCAAGCCTGGCCAAGGTTGAACACTACTTTTCAATTCCTGAAGCCACATCATCAACCACGCTTGTCCTCATCATCACCTATCCAAGGATCTCCTTGGTAGTAACTTCTGATGCAGCACATACTGAGGCCTGAATTTCGCCCTGCAGTGTGCTGGACTGTCACTGTCACTGCGGAGGCTTGTTAAGATTCAAGCGCAGGAGCGTCACTCCGCGACATTCAATTCCCACGCCATCACATCACGTCCAAGGATGGATCATTTGCCTCGATTGATCTGGTGACTCTAGAGGCCAGCTGTGATATCATTTAGTGAATCGGTGCTAGCGATGGTGAGCTTCACGGCCCACCTGCAGCAAAATGATATAGAACAAAGGTATATGCCCATCTGTCGTGTCGGAAGCACGACGAATGTCTGTAGAAAGTCTACCCTGATTGACATTGACAGCCTGGTATGGTCCCAGGACATCTTCACGACAACTGAAAAGATGCTGGAAACGGAAGAATGGTCGGATTCCGGCCTACAGGTGGATGGGTGACGCGAAAATGCTTCACTGCACAGCACTGGAGTCCAGATTCACCATATTTGTTGCCCATGTATAACCATATTTACCCGTTTCGTCTTGCAGCAGCTGGCCAGACAGAGTGACACTGTGAGCGGTTTCGCCAAGGTGAAGAAATGGTGAATCGACAACGGCGCCGACTATAAAGTCCACCACTCAGTCCCCAAATTCCTGCCGACATTCCTGGATTCTGCTTGACCCAAACACCGACATCAACATCATTCTTTCGCAACCTCAACACTCTCTGACAATATCATCAGCACACTCCTTTGCGTCTAAATTGGTGAGTTTCTTCGATGTCTTGTTCATCCTGTGCTCTCTATCCTTCATTGTGCCCCTGTATTGCGCTGTTTGCAGCTGCCATGGGAAAGTACAACGCTTCCGTCGCGTCTCGCGCCTCAGTTCGCTCCTGAAGGCTTTGTGCATTCTTGGTTTCTCCAGAAGCAGCCATCTAGATGCAGCCCAGATCTTCTTCTTTGTTGTCTGTGCTTTGTCTGGTTGTCGCCTTTGCCGACAAAGGGTGGCTACTCAAGCCGTGCACGACAGTGCATGGACCAAGAGGGCACTGACTGGCAATCTCCCTTTTGTCTCTATACAAGATTGTCGGACGCCCTGCCAACCCCATTGCAGACCATCTTGCGCTACACCAACTTTCCCTACTCTCAAGACCGCCGGTCGGTGAGACACATTGCTCACCGTTTTGGTTTTCCGTCGATATAGGTCCTGACACTCCTTTCACTGCTTGCAATCATTCCCCCATTCATTGTCTAATCCACCATGAGAGCAATAATCCCCGGTCTGGCTGCCTTGTGCGCACCTGTCGTGCTGGCTATCCCCCATGGTAGGTTTCAAGGTCTCCGACAACGCTCTAGGTGGAAACTGACTTGCGCCAGGAGGCAATCGTCGACACCAACATGCGATGCGCCACGAGGGAGCGATCGACTTCTCGACAGTCACTGATGTCGTTACCGTCACCGCCAACAATGCGGTCGTCTGGGTCGATCAGTACAATAATGTGTTGTCCACCGAATACCGTGATCACCCAACTCCCACTACCATCGCATCAAGTTCCCAAGCGTCTCTGGTGGTCGTCGAAACTGAATCTCCTCCATCCCCAGGCCCAGCCCAAGCTTCCAATTCCCCCTTCGGGGCACATCCCCATGCGTCTGAATCAGCTGCTGCTCCACCAGTTTCCAGCTCCGAGTCTGCGGAACCAGTGCCCGCTGCTCCTTCTTCCGAGATGGTGAATTCCTCTCCTCCACCAGTCGCAAGTGTTGTTCAACCTTTGACCACTTCTAACACTGCCCCCGCTGAGAAAAGCATGGCCGCAGCGATGGAAAATGGAAACTCGTACAAAGGCGTCAAAGGTGGAGCCAACGCTGGAGCCAATGCTGCTGGTGGTGGTTATGGTATCTGCTATGAACTCATTGGCAGCAATGGTTGCAAGGACCAGGGCACCATGGACTCCGAGTTTGGTTTTTTGGCCAGTCAAGGGTACTCCAAAATCCGTTTCTATGACATTGGCTGTGACCTTAGTGTGGCCACAGCTGCTGCTGCCGCCCAAGGGCTGCAAGTTATGCTAGGTCTTAATACTATCGGCAATGTTGCTGGTGATTTGGGTACGCTTGTTGGCATGATCAACGGAAATTGGGGACCGGTCGACACTATTGTCATTGGCAACGAAGTTGTCAATTCAGGTGGTGCGGCAGCCGCCGTTGTCACTGCGCTCGACGTGGCTCGTCCGATCCTGCAGGCTGCTGGGTTCACCAAGAACATCGTCACTGTGGACACCTTCGCCGCGCACCAGAACAATCCTTCACTTTGTCAGGCATCGGATTATTGCGCCGTCAACGCTCACGCCTTCTTTGATCCCAACACATCAGCCAGTAATGCAGGCTCTTTTGTTGAGGGTGTCATTGCCCCTATTGCTAAGAAGGCAAATGGCAAACAAATCATCGTCACGGAGTCTGGTTGGCCATACCAAGGACAGCCCAATGGCCAGGCTATCCCGTCGCCTGCCAACCAGCAAACCGCGATTAATGCTCTAAAGAGCGCATTCAGTTCGAATCCCGGCGGGGTGTTCCTCTTCCAAGCCTACGATGCGACTTACAAGGCTCCTGGGGCTTTTGGCGTTGAGCAGTTCTTTGGCATTTATGGCCATTAAACTGCGTTGGGATTGAACCTTGAGATTTTACCATTGATGAGGCTTTTGTTTCATCCTACACGTTGCATCCGGTTGCACTGCGTTTACAAATTAAGGAAATAAATCATGCTGAAACCGGCGTTGAGGCACTGAGTGGCAAGTTTACACGGACAACTCGGCCTATCCAAGGAGGAAACATGCACTGTACGACAACGACATCTGTAATTGTCAAAAGATGGAGACACGATCAAACGATTTCAACAATGGACAATTGCACTTTCATCACAATAGACAATCTTGTTACTCCTGCATAGCGACGGCGTTCAGCGTTCAGCGTTCAGGATCAAAATTCGACGAAGAAAATCAGTAAACAGCCGATGCGTTTTTCTTGTTACTTGCTTTTCTTTTCGACTGCAACATGATACCCTCATGGCCATTCTACCCTCTTGTTAGAGAACAACAGATATTCGATCTTCGTCTACATCCTCTGGCAGGCATCACACGACCCACTTACAAGTAAGAGGTTGGAAAGCCCTGCACAACGATACAAACACATGCATGATCAATCCGATTTCGAGCCCTGCAAAGTTATTGCAATCGGGTTATACTGAACAGTCCAGGGAGTTATGACCAATGAGAAATCCATCTTGTGGCAATTGTTATTGAATGCCGGGTCTATCAATACGGCGCTCACCGCTCGATCTGTGGTGCGCGTGGTGGGATAGGAGTGGTTTAAGAGCTTTTACACTCAGCCATCAATCCAGGCATGCAGACATGACCGGACTAGCACAGGATATGGGATGGAGCTTTGGGTATTGTGGTTTATCCACTCTCGCACGTCCCATGGCCGTCAGATAGTCCGTAGCAATTACCAGGCAGAATTCCCCGTCGGAATGGGTCGACGCAACAATTCTCCCAAATGACCTTTTTGAGTTTCGTCTTAATCCATGAACCGAAGAGGCATTCCTTGTCAGATGGCAGATGGAGGAGGAGCATTACCTCCTATACGTAAAGGAACTTTACCACGCGCAGAAAGCACCAAGAGGTATTTGACTTGTCGACTTTTCTGGTCTTTCTCAAAGCCTTGCCTCCCCTTCCCTCTCTCTCCCCTCCTCCACCTCCTTTTCTTCGTCCTGTCCTGTCCTCTCCTGTCCTCTCCCGGCCTCTCCTGGCCTCTCCTGGCCTGTCTTGTCCCTGTCCTGAGTGGCCGAGTGAGTGCATGAATGAACGAGTGAGTCGCGGAGCCTGCATTAAAAGCTTAGCGTCCTTGATCTCGAGCTGGAACTGGAGCTAAAGCATCACTTCGCATTTGCTTCCCTTGTCTATCTACAGTAGTATTGCGTCGCCGAGCCCCAGGGGGACCTCAAATCGACACCAGCCGCTCCTAGCGCTTGACATAATTACATGGCCTTATTGGTCCATGTTTTCGTGAATTGGTTGGGCAATGTCCGGACGGACGGTTGCAGTGCGAGTCTGCCCACTACCTCGGCGGCGTTTCTCTTGTGCTCATCGCTCGCCTTCATCTTCATCCATCTGGTCCATCTCCTCTTCCTCAACCTCCTCGTCGGTAAGGAATGGGCTTCTCTCCAATTGATACTGCGGGCCGGGGACTCCTCGGGATGGCTCCTGCGCGGGCGGGGTAAGGACCATTCTGGGCTGGGTCTGACCTTGCTGCATTGCGATGGTGCTCGTCGTAACAGTGGCCATGTTCATGGTCATGGACGGTGTGATGGATTCGGGAGGCGTGGACATCTCCTCGGCAGTCGGGGAGGGGGATAATGTTCGAGATTGTATTAGGATTTGTGAGGGTGTGGGGGAGAGAGTGTGGGATTGCGAGAGTGGTTGATTGAGGACTGCATCGTGAAACTGTTGGTCGATTTCTTCCTGAGAATGTGCACGGGACATCCCCGGTTGCTCTTCCTTATTCTCGACTCCGTTTTCCTCTTGGGACACGTGGTGGGCGCTGCTAGCCTCAGCATCGTCCTCTTTTCCCGCTTCTATTGCCGGCAACTTTGGGTATCCCTCTTCTCCAGCAATGTATGCCTCGCCCTGCTTTTCAAGCTCGACGTGCTCCAATGTCTCCTCGATCTCTGCTAGAGCTCTGGCCTGTGCCCGCTCCAACGCCTCGCTGACCGGGAGCTTCATACGACTTTCGATTGTTGACGCGGAATCTGGTCCCGAGGGGCTGAATGTCTTGTCCACTGGCGAGAAAGGACTTGCCTCGGGTATTATATCGCCTGTTGTTGTCGTTGTGACAATGGACGGCAGATTCGAGCTGAATTTGCCTGGTTCCCTTGCGCTGTCACCACTGCCCTCTCTACCTCGCCTGCGCCGTGCCTTCGGAGTAGGTGGGGGCTTCTTGCTGAAATGGTGGCCCTTGTGATGGGAAGGAACTGGAGGTGGATTGGCCTTTTCCTTATCTTTCTCTTCAGCTGCCGGTAATGGGGAGGCTGCTCCATGATTGTGGTGGTGGTGATGATGATGGAAGGGAATAGGGGGATGACGATGGTGATGATTGTGGTTTTGGGTGCGATTTTCTACCTCAACTTTCGGTGCAGGTTCCGCACTCGAGATCTCTGTCTTCGTAATTTCGGTATCGCTCTCCATTCTTTCTGCTTTCATGCGCGTCAAGCCGGATCTCCTTGCTTGTGGCGGGGGAGGTTTCTCCTTCTTTTGCATTATGACGGCTCGAAGATTGTTTTTCAAACCTGGGTTCCTGCTTGGGGTGATGACCCCTGGTTTCTCCTTTTGTGCCGCCACTTCCATCATACTTAAACTGGACTGTCTGGCTTCTTCAAGCCGAGGGGTGAGATACTGACCAATAGTCAATGTGGAACCTTTGGAAGAGTTCCGTTTCTTCAGTTTCCGAGGTGCTGGAAGGGCTGGCGGGCGAGCTTTTGTAGGAGAGGTTGGCGATGACACATCAGAGGCTCCTTCGTCGGTTGGAGACTCTGCATGGACTGGAGGCTCGGTCTCCGGATCAATCAGCCAACTGACTCCTTCACACCGCTTGACGAGCCGTTTTGTTGTCTCATCAACCGCATCAAAATGACCCCAATGCTGTAACCCCTCATGAGAACCGTTTTGGCCGCCAAGGTGACCTCCGCCTAAAACCACCAACAATTTGCGGATTTCGTCTCTCTTATAATGTGGAGGTTGCTGTAGTTGCGTGTGTTCGAGAAGGGGGTATAGGACACGAAGATAGGTATGGCGCAAGGATGACGCCTCTTCAGGCAGGTCAAGCAGGTTCCGAATCAATATGTCGACCAACACACGCAGGTCGTTGGTGTAGAAGTATTCGTACGTAGGTGGCGTTGTGAAAAGGAGGTAGAGTAATTTGAGGGTCAGAAGCTGTAACGACGTTTCATCTGCCAACCATTAGGGAATGAGAATCATCGCGGGTGACAAGGAAGATGATACCTTCACGGTTCAACAGCAGGATGATGTTCTCCCCGAAGGTCTTATACTCACTGCCATGGGCAGACAAGACCTTAATCACCTTGTTGGTGAGAGGCACTGCAGCTTGACCATTGGCAGGGTCATGAGCGGCGACCATAAACTGCTCATTGAGGACAAGCTGAAGGCATAATTAGACGCATATTGATCGAGGTGGGGAGAGAGCAGCCTTACCAGAACTCGAATGGTAGGATAGTGATATGGGTCATCGACGTCGTCAGAAACCTGTTCTATAATTTCAAACAACATCTTGACAAAGTCATCATCGACATACGCTATGTTCAAGTAGTAGAATCAGTCTTTGTCAAAGGGTGGTTGAGCCCCGTGTCTTCAATCTCATACGTACCCAGGTCGCCGATTTTAATCTTTTGTATGCGTGACATTTCGTAGAGCAGGGCCATGAGGAGCCTGTGGATTCCTTCGTGGCCATGTTGCTTCGGACTCGATATGAGATGGATCAGTCTTGGAAATGCGCCTTCGTCGTTCAACAGCTCGTATGTCTTTTCGTTCAACTGCGCGTGGGTAATCAAGAAGGATGTTGACACCAGCACGACATTTGGCTCGTCGTCCTGTGCGAATCACTGGATCAGCCTGCATTTTGTATGAATCTCTTCTGCTCCACCAACCTCAATCAGACACTGGACGAATTGTCGGCGGATGTAGTCAGCGTGGATTGCGAATAGCGTCGACTCTTGGAGCTTGAAGGCGCATCGGCCGAGATCATCGTCGGTTGGAAGGAAGCGTCCTAGTTTGAGTTGAGCATGGTCGGCTTGGTCTTTGCCCTTTCATTCTTGCAGCAGAACCTACCCCGACAACACCCAATGAGTTCTATGTAGGATCGCAGAGTATCGTCGATGCTATCATGGGTACTGCAGTCCCGGGAAACGGTCTCTTCGAGAGCTGGCGGAGTGAAGTCAGTCGAGCTCCTGTTTGACAGTACGGATCGGTGTTCGGTACCGGCCCAAAACTGGTCTTCGTCCTCGAAGTTATAAGAAACCTCGTGTTCCATGCTATGTCCTGCTTCATATCGTCTTCCGCGGTGCAGTCGGGAAAGTGGACAGGCTCAGAAGCAAATCAGACGTTCCTCCTCATGAGAAGGAGACGCTTGGGCGACAAAACCGAACAGTGGTATAATAACGCATCACGATGAATGAGCTGGATATGGCCATCGAAGGTCAAGCTACCAGTGGTCACAGTGATGTGTGCGGATTGATGTGGAGTGAATTGAATTCCGTGTTTGGGGTAGGATTCGAGGTTGCGAACTACTGACACATGACGCCCTGCCACGCAGCGTCACAATGCACGTGGTGGAGGGCTAAGGGCTGGTGGGAGAATCCACCCCAAGTACAAGCATTGGTTTAGGCGTGGGCGTCGGCCCGGATCCCCCGTGGGTCACGATTGTCGCCTAATACTGTCTGGCTAGCTAAGAGCCAAACCTGTGTTATGGAATATTCCTAGAGTCCTTTGGTAGGCCTCAGGCAACGCCCACATGTATACCCGGAACACAAATGGGTTGTTCAAGTTGGTCTCTGGCCACCTATTGACCGCACTGGAACAATGGCCAGGGTCATTATGTATCATATTTTGATCTACCACCAGTCAACACTGCCGGTATGCCAGTACCCAGGGAACTCCAAGGCTGCAAATTCAAAGTCGTATCCGCTCCAGACACCCCACAAATGCTGTGGATATCCCAAATTTTGAAAGTCGAAGAGTCCGTCTGCCTTGGACGTGCTCGTTCTCGACAAAAAGACCACGATGAATCCACCTTCACCTGGGTCGTTTAAAAGGATGCGCTTCCGTATTCCTGTGTCCATCCAGTTAGCCGAGACTTTTCCCGCGAACTCTCGTGGTCAGATTACTTACAAAACATAATCATCCAGGCTGATCAGGTCCGGTTCGCTGAACAAGAGATAATAATACTTCAACGTCTCTGCGAGCCAGAAGGATTCCATCGTGTCTTGCTGCTCCATCAACTGGCTAGTAACATCCCTGATGCCAGCGTTGGCAGCCTCCGTCTTCGTCGCTTTGTCGACCGCGTCAAACATGGCCCATCCCTTGTCTCTCCACGTCTCATCTCCGGTCAGTCGGTACATGATGAATACCGACTCGATGGCCTCGGGTCGGAGTCGGTAATCGCGTGCCTTGATCCGTGTATATCCTGGAGGCAGTCGCTCTTCCTGGATTTTGGCCGCAACATATTTTTCGTGTGACAATGCAACCCGCGGCTTGAATAGCTTGGGGCCCAGTCCTTCTGCATGTGTACCCGCATCGTCAGAGATGATCGTCTCTGTTCTTTCCTCCTCTTCGAAATCCATCGGCGTACCTCTCTTCTTCAAGCTGGGGTCCGACATCATCATCGAGGCCACAGAATCATCCTCCCTATCCATCACATCGGCAATGACAACCATCGATTGTTCATATAGCCTCTGCTGGTTCATGTTGTAAGTCTCTACCGCCTGCATTCTCTCCTCAAGCTTCGGGTCCAGCGCTTCATACCACCTGGTTTCATTCCACTTGCACGAAGTCAGACTATTGCAGGGCACAAGCTCGAATTCTTCAGCCATGACACCTGCTGGTGTGGATGCGTAAGCCCAAACACATGCGTCAGTGAGCCTCTCTGCAATATCCATGTCTGAAGGAATGTTGAACAGCTTAGACCCAAGACCAAACATGCCGCCTGCGAAACATCCCAGGTGCGTGCCTTCGTAGATTGTGACCTTTCTCTTAGCAGGATCCTTAGCTTTAGGGGAGATGTTTTGCTTTGCTAGGAACAGGATATCATGGTTCTCCTTCGTCATCGGTCGGAACAGCAGTTCCTCTCGGACAACCTCCATGGCATCCAGATAAAGATTCTTGTACTGCTGGTTCAGCCCGCCAAGCAGTGCATATTCCTTCGGAAAGTATTCGTAGGTGGAGTCGGCCATCGAGCCAATTCCGTAGGTGTGGGTGGTGGAATCCGGCTCAGTGCTCAGACCTTGGGATTCACAATTAACATCGTCATCCCCTTCATCCCATTCCCTATCGATCAGTGGCGTGAGCTTCTGTCCAGTTGCAGTCACTTTGCTATCTTTCTGCGCGGATTCTTCATTTGGGGGCAAGGACGAAAGTTGCTGTCGCTTTGTCAACACCTTCGAAGGATTCTCGTCGGGGTTGCGCCGATTGTCCGTGACTGATCCCTCCACCGCAAGCAACTCTTCGCCGCCAAATTTGGGCCCTCCAGAGGCAGCGGCCTCCGATCCTTCATTATCGGCGTCAGCTGCCGATCTTGAAACAGCTTCAGACTTTCTACAGCCGGATGCGTCCAGTTTCAGCGGCCAAAGACCTGGAAAAGTCGTTTTCATCTGCCACTCCTCTAGAGCATTGGTGACCCGTGCGATCGCGTCATAATACCTGGGCTCTCGGGTAATCTGAGCTAGCCTGGTGAATTCGACCGCGAGGGACCCGATTTCTGCCAGTACTGTGTGCTCACTGGCTCTGTGTGGGCGCGACGCAGAGGAGGGAGCCCAGTTATAGAAAACCGCAGGCATTCTGTTGGGCGTATCGAAGGCTCCCATCAGAATGTCGGCAAGCTCGACCGCTTTATCAAGCAAGACGGGATATTGCCCTGAGCTGAGATCGTAAGCTGCAATCAGTCCACCGAGATACCGGATAGTCGTCTCAAAGAGCGGTATATCCTTTCTTGGAGAAGTCTTGAAGTTGATTCTGCCCACGGCGGCCACGGCCTCGTGGAACTCATCGCGCAATCCCATGATCCAGAGGGTGTCGAGCGAGTCCACCAGGGTAGCACCCCATCCATTGAACGGATCCCCTACGTCTTTCGAGATGGGCTTGAGCTCATCGTGAGGGAGCGAATAATTCTTGTAGCCGAACCAAGCATGCTTGAACGCCTCGCGGATTGCATTCTGTTTTCGGAGTCGATCTCTCTTTATGGAAAGCTCTTCCCTGCCAAACTTGTATTGTACTTTGGGCAGAGCTTTCGGCTCGCCGCTTGGGAGCAGAATCAGATTCTCCAAAGGCACAGGGAAATGTTCCTCTTGTTGTGTCCAATATGCTCTCCCTGGCTCTACGGGCCGAGGTTTGACCTCATGCCAGCTGTGACCGTGTTTACCAACTTTTTCATCCTCACTCGGTTGTTTGCCGAGCAACTCTTCTTTGGTCACTGTAGGCCGTGCATTGGGCGAAGGGCTGGACACCACCGAAGTGGTTTCCGGTAGAGGTGGAGGCAGAGGAACAGTTTCCTGGAACTCGATCGGTGGTAGGGCAGGATGGGCCGGCTGGACTCGAGGCTCAGCGAGTTGTTCTCGGGCAGGGGCTGGAGGTGGAACAGGAAAGGGTTGCGCCGGTGAGTCTGTGCTTGGGGCAATTTGTTTGGTAGCGTGATTGTTCTTCAATCCTACGAGAGCCTCAAGAGCTGGGTTCTCCCAGTGACTGTTGCGAGTCAGATGGTAAACTGACACAATTGCGACAACAGCCACTAGTAGGAACAATCGGTAGCGTCGGAGGCGCATCATCTTGCGCTACGTGCTTCAGCTTCAGCGGTGGCAGATCGGATAATGGAGATCAGAGTCCGTCGACACGGGGCCACGGAGCACATTTGACAGGTGATGCTTGGGCAGTTCAGTTCGCCGGACAATTCTGCGCGAGGACAAGGCCGGTGTCAGGAGCGGTCATGCCAAAGAACGTGGGATTGGGGGCGGGCGAGTGGCATCAAAGGTGCGGAATCCTCTTCGGTGTAGGAAGTTCGGGTCAGGAAGAAGTTTGGCAGCCTCGACCCCCGTATGTAATCAGAGAGTCAATGGTGAATTTACCTAGGCCGAAAAGGTCCTCCCTCCACATGGACTGTAGATCAACAACTTCCAACATGGGTCCGAAGGATGATGATGATGGGCAGGATGAGGAGAGCAAGTGGCACCATGGGTTCGTCTAATAGATGGAAGCGACCTTTTGGCTGCAAAGGCCGCCAATCAACAGGTCCGCGGCACCATAGTGTGAGGATACAAGGATACACCACCTGCTGTAAACAGCCAGGTCTTCGGGTGACGGCTCCTCTCCCACCAAAAGCTGACATTTGTGGGGAAATCCCATTGTTTCTTGGCTGATTTGTAGCATTTTGAGCTCCGGAGATGGGCCTCGCTACTGCCACAAGGCGGAAAAAAAGAGATATAGCAGAAAACCCATTAATGCAACAAAAGGAATGGAAGAGGAGATAGCGAAAGGAGGGCTGGCATGCCTAGAATCATTTCCCATTTTCCGAGTCATGTCATTTTTGTCTGTCCTGTCCCTGCGGCATGTAACGGCATCCCATCCATCCAGGTCAAACTATCCGTCGCGTCTCGCTGCTCAGCCATCATCACGACCGTAGCAAGACAGTTGCCTTCTTCAGCCTCTGTTCTAACTCGACATGAAAGGTCTCGTGCCGTCCTAGATGTTGGAATCCGTAAATGGGCTTCTTCTTCAAGAAATCGCCCACTATCGATGTGAACGCTATTACCTCTTTAACGAGGCTCCCCAGCAGATCCTGATCCGGTGCCGGGACAGCTGTCGGAACGGGGGTATCAAAGAAGCCAGGCATGCCCTCAAAATGGACTTGCTCTTGTAGAAACTGGCACTCCATATTTCCCAAGCCGCAATCATCCAGTCGGCCCTGACACAGTCGCTCACATAATCGAACCAAGTGATTGATAATGTTGGAGAGCAGTAAGTGGCACGGGTAGTCAGTTCGAACCGTTTTACTGCGCAATATCCTCCGCACGGCAGCGTTGCTCTTCTTCAAGAGCTCAATTTGCATCTCCCGCGGTTGCGATTCATCAGACGAATGCTTCTTGAGATGAGCGAGCAATTTGATGCACACTGACTCTTCATCTTCCTGGCCAGTCTCGATGTTGCGAGACAGCGGCACCGCATAGCTTGGGGGGTGCAGCTTGGATGGATCAACCGGACATGACGACTGTCTCGAAAGAGGCCGAGCTTCAAGTTGGGCCGGGGACAGATATCGGGTAAATTGAGGCGGGCTGAGACCAGGTGTAGGCAGCCCGCTATTGTGGAAGAAACTGAGGTCGCTGGCCATCGAGTAGCTCCGGTTGTCTGCCATTTCCAGGGCGCCTAGTGACTCAGTGGTCTCGTCGAAATTTAGGAAACCAGAATCACCGTTGACGACGAAGGAGGACCAGGCAGGCGGGTTGCGAACCCTTCTGCCCGACTCATCTGAGCCGTGGGTGGTGGCAGGTGAAGGGATAGACTGTATGGGGAGGGAATTATGGACAATCCACAACTGGGAGTTGATGGTGCCGATGGAGTCGTCGATGGGTCGCTTTCGTCGTTTGCCTACCACTTTCCCGACTCTGGATTCACTATAGACGCAGGATAATCTCTTCTCACAGCATCTACGACAGCCCTCCTTGTTCCCATCACATCGAACCTATTCCCGCAATAGTCAGCGAAGGCTGGGTGGAATAAAGGGGTTTGCGTCTTACCTTGGCCGAGAAGCAGTGGTTGCAAGCTGCCCTCAGTTTGATGGGTTTGGGTTCCGTTTTGGAAGGATTGGGTGTAGCTTTCACAGAAGCTGAACAAGAAGCCGAAGTGTCATTGGCAGGAGAAGTGGCCGAGGTCGAAGACGTAGATGAAGAGGATGCGGAAGATGGCATTGTTATCGTCGCCCTTGCGTTCATGTCAATGGAGATGTCTGGGACAGGGAGTGCAATATACCAACCCAGATTCGGCGACCATGGTTGGTTTTGGCAGAGATATGCAACGTAAATAATATCCAAGATTAAGGCCAAGAAAAGAGCGCGGGTTTGAAGGAGTGACAAGTTAGGGAATGCTGCGAGTGCGAGGTCTTTGTGTCAGGAAATTCGAAAAGACACAGGTACTCAGGACTAAATGGCTATAGCTCTCTCTATATCAATGTGGGAGTAAGCATGTACTGACTGCAGTATGAAGAAGGCACAAGCTAGAACCATGGATGGAGCGGGCTGATTTATTACTTCGTGCTTGTCCAATGTGGCCCCGGGCGAGTCAGGGTCGAGATAGGAGCTCGCTGCTCGAGGCTAGAGGATTATCTAGTGCTCTCAGTAAACAGTGGGCTTGATCCATTTGCCGCGTGGGATACGAAGATTGATGCCAGTGACGGATGGCATTATGGGCCATTCAGGTCAAGTGGCAGTGAAACTGTTTTGTGCCACGATGGTCGTTCCCTCTCATCTGGTGGTGGTGGTACTACGTAGTCAGCACCGGTGCCCGCAAGTATTTTAGTGAACAGGGGCAATGGCAGATGAAGGGCAGGGGTGGCCATGGGCAGGGGCAACACCTTGGTGCAAGGACCAGGGTGGCTTGCCTCCTCTAGCGTGCAGTCCGTAACCGGGGATCTGGGCAGCGCCTCGAGCAGAAGCGGTAACCTGCCTGGGTCCATTTTGGCGGGCCACCCAGTCCACAAGCCCAGCTGTGGACCACCGTGCAGGATGAACCTCCATCTCGCCCTTTGGCCGTCAGACGGAATCTCTTCGGCGTCACTGACGACAGATGTCCGTGAACTTTGTCCAGAGCGGTGGTCGTTCGACGGGGCTTTTGCTTATGCTAGCCAAAAGGCCAAAACGCTCTCCTTAGTGTAATGCCCAGCAATAGACTGAACCAAGAGGGTAACAAAAAGAGTAGTATTAATGAATGTCGCCCATCTGCAGCTCGAGAAAGTGGCTTTCAGCCCGAGGGTTGAGCTGCGGGCACCAAGGAATGGCTTGATGATCAGACAATAGCCTCCCTTTCCTCCTAATGCTTCACAAACCTGGACCACATTTTCAACAACTGTGATTATGTAGCATCACAAGATCGCCGTCATCACATCATGAGGCCTTGGAATCCCGCTCGTCGTCAGGCTACCCGAAAACAGGCCCTTTCTTGCCAACAGGTCTCCTCGAACATCCCACTGAATTACCTACAAGTAGGAGGGGGAGCATTAAGCACTGAGTGTCCGCAGTTTAGCGCCAAGTTTGCTTTGGGGGTCATTTGACTTTCAGCCGTCGTACGAGGTATATATTTATAAGTACATGGTCGCAAAGTGACTGGTTTCCGAAATGGCTGGTTGCCGAGCTCTTCATGTTAACGCCAACTGAATGATTGAATAACAAAATATTGAAATTAATTTGGAGTGCCTTCGACGTTGTTAGAATGTCCATCAGGGCCGAAGACGGTTAGAGGTGTACGGGCAATTCATGTGACTCGCTTGCCAGCGCCTTTCTAAGTGGCCGGTGGCTGGTGATATGAGTGGTGGACAGCTTGGACCGGCCCACTAAAATTCCACTAGTCCCTTTTCGTTACCACGGTCAAAGCCTTGTCTTCAAGTACGTACATCAACGCCACCATCCCTTTCCGTCAATACTCTTGCGGACAAGGCGCTTATTACCCAGTTCAGTGACATAAAAGGGTACCTGACCCAAATTCTGATGGCGGCATTCTAAAATGGCCAATTGTTTGGTATAGCAGGAGTGAGCGGGGATGCGCAGCCAAGGTGGTGATTTATTACTCCCGTGCATTCTTCAACTGGAAAGCTACATGTACATCGGGGATGGAAGGAGGGTGCTGGGTGTGGTTTACTCTCAGCCTCGTATCTCCTTTCACACGCCCAGAGTGGACCTACGCTGCGCCTTCTGTATCGATGGGGCCTAGGTGTGAGACTGCGGCTGCAGCATTTGCCATTTCGGCTTCCCCTATTCGCATCGTATCTTGGTCATTAATGAGAACAATCTGCTTGGACTTTCTAGGCGAAGAGAACGGCTGAAGG